GGAATAGATTATGTTATGTTCAACCAGTTTGTCTAATCAGTTGTCTAAGAGAGCCAGATTCCCTGTCAAAACCTTCACATTACCGGAGTTGACCTGAGACCAGAATATAATAGAGTCACTCCTTTCATAGTCTTGCCATTAAACGATTATTGCGTTCCGAAGCCAATACTACTGTAGGTAGTTAAACCTTCGCCCTATGATGTGACAGAAAAAAGGTACAGGCAGGTCATAGTGGGAAGAGAAACTCTTTTCTCAGTTAAAATGTTGCATAGGTTTTTGAAAGAGCTCGAAGCTAAGGCGATTCCTCCTATTTAAGTCTTGCTGAATAGTGCCGCCATTGTTGAAGATAAACCTGATGAAGGGTTTCATCACCCTGTTCTACTTTTAGATCAGCTGTGTCGGATGGCTTCTTCATAACGTCTGATTAGTGAATGTCAAGTAAGAGACCGGCATTCACAGCTGTGTTGCATGCGAAAGTCATCAGGTAACAGGATTCGCTTCTCACGCTACTCACCAGAAAAATATCGTCTGCTTACTTCAGGCCAGTAAGACATCGAGCCAGAATTTTAAACCTGAAACTTTCCTCATCAATGAGACTTTCGCCTTTGTCAAGGTCGACGCCCTTTTAAGGCAGAGACTCGAGAACAATGCTGAATAGCAAAAGGGAAAGCACGTCTTCCTAGCGAATTCTACGGTTAATAGGGCGCCGTTCAAATAGTGCTTCTTCTACTCTGACAGCATACATAGTTGCTGTATACAATTCTTCCAACATGTAGAACATGTTCGCAGGTATCCGAAAGCATTTCAAGATTTTCCACATCATCAGACAATGTAACGAATCTTACGCAGCTTTAAGGTCGAAAGAACTGCCAAATCAAGTTATTACTTTCGTTGTGATTATTCAACTATCCTACGCAGAGTGAAAAATTGATCTGTGCAAAGGTACTTCTTCCGAAACCCTGCTTGATTCTGGTAGAGTATCCCATCAATTGCCTGCTTCTACATTTCGAAACTAATCCAGAATAAAAATTTACTACGTTATTTGAAATACCCGACCATCCTATCTCCTTGAAATATACGACCAATTATTGCACACTTCTTATTCTGGAAAACTTTTGCAAGTCAACATTTGATTAAACGTAGCATGTATTTCTTTTACCATTCCGGTTCCTCCGTACTTAATTAACTCCGGAGGAATTCGGCTTTCTTCGCAAGCCTTCTTTACTTTATAATGTAGTAAGGATTGCTGGATTTCAAATTTTGTTAGTGGATCTGTACAAACCTTTAACGGTGGTACGTGACGTATGGCAGCCGTCGAACAGCTGCTAGAAATGATCAACCCATCTTTTGAGGCGTTGCTTATGACCGCAAAGCGACATCCTTAAGTCGTTTGATAGGAACAGACAGAAGTAAACTGCGACACCTCTTTGAACATCGGTCACAATACACCCTTTCCGGTTGCTTCACTATCTTCCTGATTTCTCCTTGCAGCAAAATTTCCATGTATCATCCGTTGCTTTGGTTGAATATATGAACAAGATGGCGATGAGCTGCATTCAGAGGTGTGGTGTGTTGCAAGTATTTCTTTTTGCCTGATTTATTTGCACTCTAACAGCTTGAGTTTTGCCCGTAACCCAGGGCAGTTTGGTTATTCTCTTCTTGATCAAGATTATGTTTTTCGCCGTTGACGGCCTCCTTGAATTCTTGTAAGGTTTGCCGACGTTGTCACTTTCCGGCTAGGCACTAAGAGTAAAACAAGACTATAAATAAAGCTAGACTAAGACAACTATATATATTTTTTGGAAGGCCTTTTTTTCTAGTTTTTCATGGGGATGGAAGCAGATCTAAACTTCATGGCATTGTAACAGCAGCAGTACATTGGATGCAAAAGCACATCACTGTGTTGGGATGAAAAAAAAGTGCTTTAGGTACCAACTAAATGCCTTATTATCCGTAGGTAATTATATTCATTAAAAAAAAATCCAGATGTTGTGTAGCTTTTCAAATAATGCAATGCATGAAATTAATGTACTAATTTTAATTTAGACTCAGTTAATAAATATTCACATTCCTTCTAAGGACACTCATTCAAGTCTTATTTTAGTTTAAACGGTTGAATTAAACTTTCAGTCTGATGGCATAGCCTACCCTTTATCGACTGATTTATGGTTGTAGTGACTTGGCTACAGTATTCATGATGAACAATTTTTATCGTTTTAGAAAGGAGTGGAAGAAAGATTTTCATTTTTTCTTAATCTACGTAGTCAAGTTAATAGCATAAGCATTATTTATGAATTAGTCAATCGTTCAGAATTGAACGTCTGCGAAGATTTTGCGTAGATACTCCGTGCAACTGCATTCTGATTGTGTTGTTATAGGTATTGATTATTACCGTAGACTTTTAGATCACGGCATTCTGCTAACAATCAGCTGATAAAGCTGCTGATGTACTGTTGGTTGTGTATACAGTGTGAAGGTTTGAATGTACGGATACGCATTTAATTTCTTGGCTCATACGTCACTTTAGAGACTGTGACCAGCATTGTTAACCGTTGATGAAGACGAAATGTTCAGAAACGTCGCACTTTATCGATGCTAGCATAATAACCGTATAAAACATAATCGTATGTTCGTTGTTGGTTTGTGTAATTTTGTTGTGATCGAATCGTCTTCGGATGGAGGTACCGGAAGCGACGGCTAGACGAGTGGCTTGTGAAGTTAAAGGTGTTCCGAAGAATGATGGCGTAGGCCGACGATGTTCAGCGAGGAACGGCTGCGACAGTGAATGACCAGCTTGGTCATCGTTGTGTCGAGTGGTCGATGGACGACGACCCGGACCGTGAACGTGAGCGCGACAGGGACTGGACCGACTTTGTCCGGCTGTGCAAGTTCTTTACGTTGCGCATGGCACAGATCGTCGTGCAGTCGCGACACGGCCGCCGGATACGTACCGAGACCAGACAGGTGTCTTCGAACAGCGACTGGTTCAGTCTGAAAGTCAACGATGTGCAGGAAGTGAACGACGTGGTAAAGGCAGCTCTGGCCGACCGCCATCTGC